GTTTAAGCAAACCTGTTCTTTTCTGCGGAGGGGAAACGAGGAGCAGGCATTTGACCACGCAGACAGCGAGCGGAGGGCACCGGGGCATGTGTAGTAGCATGCAATGATGTCAGCTGCTTCCTGGCATCCGCAGCATCCCCGACGGGCGGCAGTGGGTCTGTTCTCCCTGCACGGAGGACACAGACGCCTTCACGCTCTGCTGTGACCTCAGCACTTCAGCAGTCCTCCCTCCCGTAAGGAGCACAGTGCTTTCTAACCATTGTAACTAATTACTTGTTATACCTTAAATTGCAAGCTGGTTATATGATAAAGTGTAACTTCATAATGCCTAGCCAATTTAAGAAGCCCAGCAACACAATATTAAGTAATAATTACACGGGAGAAAATTACTTTCCAAAACGCAATACCGAAGAAGCTCCCTTAAAAAAGAAAAAGTAATATCTAATAGTTCTTCCTCTTTTATGTGCATTCCCATTCCCACAAAAGAGGTGCTGAATGAAGAATCAGGCCTCTTTTTTGCTGGGATTTTTTATAATCTTACCACTGCCAGGGATCCTGCTCTGTTCTTTGCCACACTAGAGCTTTCTGCATCCACGTATTCCTCCACGGTGAAGCTGGCAACAATCACACTAACCTTTCAACAGCAGTGCTGTTGAACAACTCAGACACCTAGCTGGAATCAATGCCAAGGATGTAATCCCAAAGGAAAAAGAGACCCCCCCTGTGTAAATACAAATGGACAAAACTGATAAAACGCTACATTTTTTTTTCTCCCAGAAGCAGCAGTGCTTTCGGAGGCTGAAAGTGCTAGAAATGAACTTGCAACTGCATTGAGCCTCACAAACTTCCTCTCTAGCCTTTTTTTTTTTAGTGTAGACACAGAGCTGTTAGAAAAGTGACAAGATCCCATTGCTTGACCTTTCTCTGAAATCACTTTTAAAACACACAGCTTCAGGAAAAAAGGTGCAGAACAAGTGTGACGTGCAGTGGATCATTTGATGGTCTTTAGAGGGGGCAGGCTATATTCTGAAGGTTGCTTTTGAGTTTGTCATTTTTAGAGCAACTTTCAGTTTGCCAGATGTTTGTCTCAAAGACTTGAAATCTGGAAAAGTAGGTGTTCATTATTTCTGGGTACAAACTGGCACAACAATGTTTGTACTGTGGGAGGAGAGGTATATTTTTTAAATTACCAGATTTTTAGATGACATCAAATGCTTCAGTTAGTAGCACTGCAATTAAATGGTCAGACAAGATAACAAGATACCTACTGACTTTTATAACTCAGAAAAGATAGTAACAGATAATATCCAATATTGCTCAGGGAGTCCATGCACTCCACCCGTCAGAAGGGGAAATGAGCTCTAAACAAAGAGAAATGATAAACATCGTCAAAAGCCGACAGCTTCGTGGGCTCTTGTATTACATAGGGCTGTCCCCAAGTTACTGAGTAGATCTGGCATTAAAATCCACGTCAGGGCTGCCACGTAGCCACCAGGCAGACAAAAAAAGAAAACGAAAGAACAAGCTGTGGCACCATAGCTGTCACCTGACAGAGCCTTCAGGCACCCTCTTCCTTTTGTTTCTCTTGCTCTTTCTAATGTCTGCCCGCCTCTCCTTCCAGTGCCTTCCAGCCTTGCCTCAATGGAGACCGTAGCATCTAAAAATACCGTCTTTCAAACCTTCATTCTCAAAATCTGGTCCACTACTTTATAGGTGTGTATTTCACCTCAAATCTTCTTTGGGCCTTTTCAGTTTCTGAATGCCTCCAAAATGAGGAGGCATTAATTGCTTAATTGGAGAGCAATTATCACACTTCATGTCAGATTCTTTCCCTTTTACTATTATCATCGATAATCCATTGAAATCAAGGGACTTCTTGCAAATCAAGGGTGGGTTGTTTTTTTTAACGTGGCCTTGAGTGCACTTTCCCAGCACAACAGGATGCTGACACGTACAGCCAGGAGCGGAGGGCCGGGACGGGCTGGACTCAAGCCCACCACTCAAGGTGGTGGCGATGTCGAGAGTACAATTACTGTTCGTCAGGGCTGAGGAACAGGCAGCAGGAGACTGCTGTGATCCTACCAATAACCAAGGGGTTGGTTCGAGCAAGTAACTGGCCTGTTAACTAGACTTTAAAATGGACAACTGGTATTCCCCCAGATGCCAGCTTCTCCGGATCAGACCGCATTAGAAAGCTGAAATGCTCAGACTGATCCTTTTGCCTCTTCAGCAACTTACCTTGCACCCAAGCAGGAATCCCGCCGGCACACCAGCACACCAGAGCAGGAGCCCCTTGGTGTGCTTTTGCCCCAAAACAAGTTTCTGTTTGCATCCTGAGCCGTGTTACAGCAGGGTCTCGGGCACTGCAATGTGTTTCAAACCACTGCAGACCTACCCAGTACCATCGGGGCGAGGGGAAGACAGCAGGAACCTTAAATTACACAAATTACCATAAGGCTGATCTTAAGAGAACACAAAGGCTCTTCATTTCACCTAACAGTTAATGCTTCTGACAGAAAAACTTTTTCTCTGTGTAAAGGCAGACAGAGCGCAGGAGTCACTGTATCAAACAGAATCGAGATCAAAGTGATCTCTGCTGTGCATCATCAACTTACATATCTGAAATTTGCCTCTCTACCTCCCCTCTGCTGCTGTAGTATGATGTATTATTTAACACTGCATTTAATTCTTTCACAAGAGATACACCAAGTTTAGTTCAGGTCTAACATTCTGCTATTGAAAGGGGGTTGGTTGCTGGGACCCATCCTGAATGTGTCTCCTCCCTGCTGCTGTTCATCCCTGCGTACTTCTCTGTCTCAACATCTCAGTTATCACACACTTTCCTTTACCCAGAAAAAGGAAGAGAGTTTGTTTTTTTTTTTGAACACCAGAACAAGAAAGAAAAAAGAAGTCCTAGCTACATGGCAATTTCTTTTTAAACCAAGAAAACATGAAACCATGTCTAAATTATGTTCCACAAATGCGAGTAAAGCAGATTCACAAAGTCCAGTCCTTTCTGTTTTTATTCCATGGGGGTGGGAAGGCAATAGGTGGTGCGATAGGAAGGAGGAAGAAGTCCTCTCTCCTCTTAGTAGTGTTACACTTAGTTCTGTTATATCCACCTCTCTCCAAAGAGTACATATCACTTTTCATTCACAGAAATAAAATACCACATTAAGGATAAGACACATTGAATGAGTTCCCTCCGCTATATGAAAACTCTAGGAAAACCTGCAAAGAGCCTATGTCAGCAATAAGCAAATAATAATAGGATAAATAACAATACATAGGGTAGATATTAACAGGTAAAAATCCTCGACGCAGAAGTGAACTCTCTATATTATACCAGATCAGTTTCTTACAACCCAATGAAACGAGAACAATGCATAGGCATTTTAAGATAAATACAGTATCTTACTAAAAATGTCACATCCTCTCAAACTCCACCACCCAGTCCTAATGGATCAAAACAATAGTAAAAGTTTGTTAATTTATTAAATTAAGAAATTATTTCAACAGGATTGAACTGCTTAGTTGCCCCCTAAACCTAAATGGGCTCTTCTGATACACGTATTTGAGGGTTGACTGACCTCATAGGAGTAATTATTAATTAATAATTAATTATAGGAGCCTTATCATTCAAGTATAATAATGATTTTTTTTTTTTGAGGTACAGGTGGTTCCCAGGAACACATGATAGCAGCAAGCAAATAAATCCACAGATCTGAAATTTAATGAGGCAAATGCATTGATCGTCACGGTCTAAACATTTATGCTTTTCAAGAAACCACATCTGCCTTCAGACGTGCCATCTGGGGGAAAATAATACATCTATTTTCAGTATCATGAGTGAGAATGTCAGTGTCCCAATTTAGAAGTTCAAAAAAATCTTTGATGCTCAAACAGTACCTACTTGCTATGTTGACGAAAAGCATCTCTGAGCATTGCTAAGGCAGACATTTGTCTCCAAGAGGAAAGGCTGAATAGAGCAGCTCAGGTGTAAACTAGCACATAATACTCACACTTGCGGAAAATGTTTTACTCAGTATGCTAGCTACTTTTTTTTGTTTTAAGCTAATTTGAAGAAAACGGCAACCAGTTACCACACGAGGCAGTAGAGCAGGAGGGCTGGAGCCTCTTCTTGGAGGGGACCAACTCCCAGTACATCATTTGAAAATTTTCTTAAGTTTCACCACGGTTCCCTTACCTCCCACTCAAGAAGTACAGTAGCTGAAAGTCCAGAAGTGTAGCACAGCACTTTGGTATTGTCTGGTTTAGGTGAAAATGCATTTTCTTTAGCCATTTTCCCATTGTGAAACCTTCTATTTTGAGCCATAAACTATATTCTAAAGGTATTTTAATTGAATGGGAAAACAAATGCCATTTTTATTATTTTGTAGAGTTAGGAATCATCATGGAGATAAAACAAATCTATGGAAGTTATTTACCCTATTACTCTCTAAAACAGCTGACTACACTGGAAAACTAGAACCAGAGACTTCCAGAAATCACAGAATAGTTAATTCTCAGCTTTTTTCTATCCATCAACAGCAGACTTTTTTCTTTCAACTCTAAGAAGATTATAAATGCTGAGTTACTTTGGGCTACCCAAGCAATGATTTGGATTTCAAATGAGAACTGTCACAGCTGAAAGCTTAAAGCTCTGTTTGCTTGGCAACGCCCCACTATTTTCAGAATTAATGTTGTCAGAACTGTTTACAATCCAGAGCAAATTACTGACTCCGAGAGGTGCAAATCCACCAAGCTCTCTGGAAAGTCGATTTCACACGCATTGAAGTAAACGCCATTACTTTAGATTTATTCCATGCTAAACAAGAAAATTAATTTGGCCCAAGAAAAAAAAAAGTAGGAAGCAAGATATGCCATCACCAGCAGCCCTGACAGAGATACGCAGGGAGAGTAACGCTTCAAAGCTGCTCAGCTGCCTGAGGCTCTGCTATTCCATGCGAATAACTAGTGTTTTCCCTTTACTCTAGGTGCTGTCATTTATCATCTTTATCTGCTACATTGCATCTCTAGCTGCCTCTTTCATGATGGCACCGCTCCTAGAGTTTCTGCTGGCACTGTTTCTATTTTTTGCCTATGCCTCCAAACTTAATGAGAAGTTTAAAGGACTCTACTGGCCTTTGAAGGTAAGTGAAAAGTGCAATGTAAAAAACACAGATTTAATTGTACAGTATAACATGAGTGAAAGGGACTATACGGGAGTTTAGGCTGGTTGTTAACAACTTATTTCACCCCCTTACTAGAAACCTGTCCATATTGCCTCTCATTCAAAAGGTCCCAAAGCACTTTTAAACTATGCTATACTACATACTATAGCTTTCTTTATGCTGACACAAAGCACGGTTTTATGCTTTGATTATGCAGAATTTATGCCCAGTAGCTTAGTGCTGCATCTTCAGAAGCAGGCAACATCAGCCGAAGTAAGTCTGACCACTGCTGGGGTCTCTTTAATATCGCCACCCTTACAAATGGGGAAACTGAGGCATGCTATGTAGTAATGCTTATACCTTTATTAAAATGTTTTAAAATTCTCAGGCAAGTGCTGTTGAGATGCAGAGTCATACTCACATGCAAACAAACTGACAGCTACTTTTGTTAAGGGGGGAAGCCCTGCAACTCTTGCAGGCAGATGCTCATTCACACGAAGGAAACCACTGGCTATCCACTGGGGAGTTTTCAGGTTTGTAGTTGCTGGTGATTACTGCACACTGGCCACTGGATGTCTCTCTTGCTTCAAACATACGTTGCCAAGGGAGCATTTGTCTAGCAGTACAAATACTTAAAAAAATGCTAATCCAATCGATTTGGATTCTCTTTTGGTACAGTTTTGCAATAGTTCGTCATAGTGAGATTTGAATTAGAGCTCTTAATGTATAAAAATAATATTAGCAAGGCCACTGGTGGATAAAACAATAGCAGTGACTGACTATGACAGTGTGCATGGTTTTCAGATGGTAATCTCAGTTCCATCGTTTTCCCATTTTCTACATGCATCCGATTCCAGAACCAAGACAAAAAAAGCACTTGTATGTTTATTATGTCCATTACCATAATATCTCCAGCCACAGAATGTAGATAATTGACCTTGTCCTGATTTCAGAGGAATAACGTTTCTTGTAGGATTCGTGTTTTGAGGCAGTATCTTCATCCATCTGTTCTGAAAAGGCAGGAGATCTAACTGTGAACAGAGGTCAAGATACCATTATTCTAGCTCACGTGATTTACACATGCCCTGGGAATCACAGCTCTTTATTTAATATACAGTTCAGAGACACTGTTGCTCCAGCACGTCACCGCTTATATTATAGGGCATGGCCCCTGCCCTGCAGAGCCAGTCTCGGCCACAGAAGCACGTATTTTGATGATAGCAGTAGGTACGTTCACTTCAGGCTAGCTGGAGTTACAAGTGTACATACTAAGTGTAAATCGTAGTTTTAAACACTAAACAAAGTGTTTAGCTCCTCAGTGAGGAGTTCCTACAGACAGGCCTACTTCTGTATAGAAACAAGCACATGCCTGTTCCCCACGGGAACTGGTAGGCTCCTCCAGAGCCTTTGGTACTGCAGGAGTTCTGCTTAACGATGAGACTTTTTAAGGCATTTCGAATGATTCTTCCATTAGCCCTTGCTGCGCTCCAAGTTACAGAAATATAGCCCTTCTCGGCCTGAAGAAAGGTCTGCCTGACATACACATGTTAAAAGTAGGATTTATACCAACATCTGTAAGAACAGAAGCTAATGCCAAGATTCCGGTCATCTCGCATTTAAAAATATTTCCCAGATGAGCAATTCATCCGCTACAAAATACCAGGCTGTAGTCACACTCCAGCATCAGGCAAGTCCGCTGACACAACAGCAAAGGTTTTTAATGGTAATTTCTGAAATAATTTTTAGAGGAGTTTGTACATTGGAATTACATGACTAATCTGAGAATGCAACATTGCTTATTTTACAGGATTTCTTGCGGTGCGTCACTGCTGCCATTATTTACTTTGCCATTTCAATTGCTGCTGTCTCAAAATATAATGACGGAGCATCTAAAGCAGCAGGAGTAAGTAGATGTGAGCTCTCCACTTAGGTATTTTGGTGAACTGCATATGGACATAGTTTAGAAACAATTCAATTTTGACCCCATTGCAAGTAGCAGAAGTTTCTTCAGTTAACTAACTGAGAATTAGATTTGCCTAAAGCAAGGAAGAAATGGTCGGTTATTTAGAAAAACAGGTTTTGAATCAATTAATAGTTTTTTCATCCTAACAGCGCTGCTCAGCGTTAACTGTACTACTTAGGGAGGGCACCTATTCTGCTTTTTAACTTCACCAGCTATACAGGGAAGATAAACTTCTCTGTTCCTGCAGAGAACATCGAGATCCTTGAATGGAGGAAATAATAATAATAAAAAAGAAATCAAACCTGTAACTACTAAGGACAGTCTAAATTAAGTAATTTCAACATCCTGTCTCTACTGCTTAATTTTACTTGGATAAGTTGAAACAAGAGCAGCGTCATTTTACCCTCCAGTATATGGACTGCCCAGGAGAGAGCCTTCATTGTCAGCATTTTGTGTTCAGAAATAAGATACAGCCTCTCCATCTGCAACTTGACGCTAAGCACCAATAATGTGTGCGATATAAATTAAATTTGCATAATAATTTTAAAAGATAGGGAAGAACAATACCCAGTAGTGTTAACCAGCAACCCTTACCAAACCATCCCAATTCATACACAATTTCAGAACAAAGACCTTGTTTTAATCTTTGTCACTCTGTTTAGACATGGAGTAATGCAACATAGCATTTACCCTAGCTTCTCAGACTGAAAAACAGCCTATTCTTGCCACACTGCTGCTTCTTTGACACTAAATAGGTATCCTAGTTTCAGCAGGGATAGAGTTAACTTCCTTCCTAGTAGCTGGTACAGTGCTGTGCTTTGGATTTAGGGTGAGAACAATGTTGATAACACACTGATGTTTTAGGTGTTGCTAAGCAGTGCTTACACTAGTCAAGGACTTTTCAGCTTCCCATGCTCTACCGACTGAGCAGGCTGGAGGTGCACAAGGAGCTGGGAGGGGGCACAGCCAGGACAGCTGACCCCAACTGGCCAAAGGGACATTCCATACCATGGGACGTCATGCTCAGTACATAAACTGGGGAAAGCTGGCCGGGGGGGGCTGCTGCTCGGGGACTGGCTGGGCATCGGTCAGCAGGTGGTGAGCAATTGCATCGTGCATCACTTGCTTTTTGTATTATTATTATTATTACATTATTATTATTGTTATCATTATTTTATTTGAATTATTAAACTGTTTTTATCTCAACCCACAAGTTTTTCTCACTTCTACTCTTCCAATTCTCTCCCCCATCCCACCGGAGGGGGGGTGGTGAGCAAGCAGCTGTGTGGTACTCGGTTGCCAACTGAGGTTAAACCACGACAATAGGTAACTCCAGAATCATTTTATCTCAATCTAGTTCACTCTACAATAGACATGTCTCCTTGCAAACCAGTAAAAAATTATTTCCAGAGAAATCGAGGTGATTTCTTGGTGACAAAGACATGCCCTGGGATAGCGGAGGTGCTATGTTCTCCTGTAGCTCCCGGCACAGGGCAGTGCTGCTGGGCACAGGGCAATGCTGATGCTCAGAACATGCCCTGAGCCAGAGAGGGATGTAGCCTGGGGAACGGCTAAGGACACATCTGATAGAGCAACTGTGAGGATCACTACTCAGGCTCCCAAATTAGCTGTAATTTAGTTGATGCCAAAGGGACATTTCCCTTCCCTTTCCCCCACAGGCCAAAAAAAAAAAATCAAGCCTAAGTTTTCTTTAAAAATTTTTCTTGTGTCCATTAGGCTTATTTTGGTTTGTCATTGATGGACGTGAACTGTTGTTAAAGAGAGTATTATTTTGCCATTTTAGGTGTTTGGATTTATAGCCACGATAGTGTACGCCATTGATTTCTACATAACCTTCAATGACCTGGTTACTTTTCTGAAGCAAGGCAATTCTGATTCCCCTGAAGGGCACAAGTCAGAAGGTAGGTAGAATTCCCCGTTTTGGTTAAACGAGCATGTAACGTGAGATTTTCTTCTCCATTTCACCCTTCACAGGGCAGCAAGAGCACTCACTTAGTAGTAACAGTTTCTATTCTTGGCTACCTTGGTTCTGTATGCCACAACTGTGCTGAATTATGAAGCTGCTTAGTCTTAAAATACAACAACTGGAATTTCAGTGATTTATAAAGATAACGAGCAAGCCAGGAATGTGAAGTTTCTCAGTGTTTTGCGCCATCTAACTTTGAAAGGCCCCAAATCCAATTATAGAAGTTATTGTGCAGCACAGATTTTTTCCTGCCATCAAGATGTCTTACTTTAAAAATAAACATCTACTTTTTTTTTTTTGATAACTTAATAATTAACATCCATTAGTCCACAGTCTTTTATGTCCAATAGCGCTTTTCTCTTTCTCATCTCTTTATCATGATTACCTCTCATTCAGGGTCAAGCTTTGACCATCTGTGGGCAAACGGCCTCAAAATCCAAGGGCCACACAGCATAAAATTAACAAGATTGTTATCAAATTTCCTTCCAATATAGAAGGCACAGTCTACCTCAAATCAGACAGATCCACTTAGACAAAGATAAAAAGATGGACCCACTGTTGGGAGTTCAAACCCATTTCAAGTCAAGTCAGGACACAGGTAGCTATTTTGCAGTACCCAGGAGCCCCAATCAGGCATCACGCCCCTGTGATACTACTCGTTGCACCCCCAGAGATGAAAAAAGACTGCTCCACACTTAAAAACAAACAAAAAATCCCAACCCCCAAAAAAACACCCCACACAAACCCAAAACCCACAAAAACCCTCAAAAACAAACACCCAAGACATGTACAGAATCCTAGAAAGTATATAGTAATGCTAACAGTCTTTTCTAGGTATTTTAGTAGACTTAAGTGTTTTGCAAGCTTTAGGCCAAAAAGAGAGACAAAGAAAAGAAGAATTAAAGGAACAGATCATAGGAAACAGACTGTTAAGACTAAAAACTGTTTATCCCCATGAACTGAACTGACCTCAGAAGAAGATCAGGTGAAAAGGGTACAAAATTAGGCTAAAGATTAGATCTAATTTCCCTGGAAATGGAGAGAGAAATATATAAACTTACAAATATGCAGTCATGCAGCTTTGTGTCGATGATTTGACCGTGCAAGAAGGGCTCTGCCCTGGAGGAACAGTACTGCAGCACCAAACTCGCATTCATGCTATAGCTCTCAACTGCTGAGGCCAGAAATCCCTTGCTTCCTTGCAAGCCGAGTCTCGAGCTTGGGCAAGATGTACCTCTACAGGCCCATCAGGATTTCTTAACGTCTTAAAGCTTCTGGTTTTCAGATAGGTTTAACTGGCAGTGCATAACCGTGACCCACAGCAGCCAGCAATATTGTAGTACAGGAAGCATGTCTTCAGCAGACTTCCTCTTGGCGGTCATGCTAACAATATCATCTCTGCAACTTTTCATCTGAACTGTTATCTATGTTGTAGTGGTCTAAGTGCCTCTCAGCAGCATTTTTCAAGTCTTTGAAACACCATTTAAAGCTCCATCATGTTAGCGCTGTCATTTTATAAGCCTTTTCCTAAATATGCCACATCCTTTGAAGCAGACACCTGCCAAAGAGCAGCATCTCTCTCCCAGCAAGAGCTAAAGCTGACATGGAGGTTTCCAGTTTTCATTTTCACTATTGTTCCTTGTTTTAAGTTTCAGATGAGGACTCAGATTCCAACTCGGACTGAAGAATCGAACACCAACCAAGTGTGAAGGGAAGGTGATCAAGCACTTTCCCCTTTGCTGAATGCACTGCCGATTGAAGTATCTCCTTTATTTCAGCCTTGGTATCCTCTTTCCACCTCACTGTTTATGGAATCACCAAAGCATGGACAGGGCAGTGATGTGGAAAAGGAGACTATTCCCAATGCCGTTGGATACTCCTTCAGAACTACAGATTTTACAGTAGTTCAACCTGCCAAAGAGGCCTGTACCCAAACAACACATCTCAACTCTCTGTTGCCCCTCCTTACTCAGCACTACAATGTACTGAGTAAATGGGAACATAGTATTTTAAACGTATAAGCAGAGCTTTTAATATGCTTTCTTAATTCCAAATCTTTAACACTTACAGCTTTTATACTTCTTGCTGTGCCAAAGAAGAGAGGCTCAGAATGCCTCTACTTTATTTGTATTTTTCTTGATTAACTAACAGTATTTCTTTATCTGAAGTCTGAATATTCCACTATCTCAAGCACTGAAGGCACAGATTACAGTTAACATGTTGGTTTCAGTACATTTATATCTACTGCCTATCTGCGACAAGAAAAAGTGACAACTGGAAATCTGCAGCAAGAACAAACCTCAAAGTATAACTGTGCCGCAGGGTAGCTGGCTCATCAAACATTCAGTATCACTTTTTTAAGCTGCTTGGATGGAGTCACATCCCATCTTCTGCAATTTCACCACAGATATGAGAGAGAACAGATGAGGCATCGTCTTACCGGCCCCTTCCTACCATTTGCATGGAAGCCCTTGTACGTGTTTGCACATACAGGTAAGAAAGGCTTGCCAAATACCATCCAACATTATCTGCCTATTGAAGCCTGCAAATATTTGTGTGCAAGATATCACTGTCTGATCTCATGCTCTGTGTTGCAAACACTGGTCCTCCCATGAGAAGCAGCACTGGACTTAGTCCGCTGCGTTCACAAAACAGACGACTGTTTCTGTAAAACTCAGGATACCTGGGCCCCAGGAGGGCAATACATCCTTCCCACTGTGAAAAGGAAAAAAAAACCAAAAACCCCAACCTCCAAACTAAAGAATGTCTGCAATGAAATTCTTTTCCCAGACCCCTTTTTTCAGTGTGTGTGTGTGTTTTTTGGTTTGGTTTTTTTCCCCTGGAAGGACACGATTTATCTCATGGTCTAGTATTCTGGGGGAAAAGCCTTCTTGAATTTACAAGAAGATGTTTTCATGGACAGCACAACCTACCTTGAAATATTTGTGTCCACCTATAAACACATACTGCTTGGAAAAAGCATGGCATGCTCCTTATATATGGCATCAGATAGGTCTATTTCAAAGAAACCTGTATACATTTTTAAAAAATTAGTATCGTACCAGAACAGGTGGCCTTAACAAAAAGTAATTAAAATGAGAGCAGATGGTACTAACAGAGTAAATTAAAAACAGAGATAAAACAATAAAGGCAGATTTCCTTTGGAACAAAATTACTGCTTGGGTTCCAATTCCCTGCTAGCAGCTGGCTGCTGACAGGCAGAAACACGGTACCTAACAGCGAGCAGGTGCTTGGGAAGGTGCTGGCCAGATTCGGAGTTGTCTAACAGGCAGCTCCTACATCTCCTGTTTCCAGACCGCTGAATAAAAGCAAAACAAATAGTTGTTTCCAAATGTGACAAACAATCTTTGCTTTTATGAGAAAGAGCTCTTTGGACCTTTTCTGGTATGAAATTCCACATTTCTTTCTTTTCTGTTGTCATATTTTACTGGCACGCACTGTGACGTCAGAGTACCTGGGCTCATTTTTATATTCAATTGTTTTGTATTTCTCTTTTTTTTAATTAAAAAATGTACTGCATGTCACAGCTGAAAACTAGTACATGGTTAATATTTAGAAACCATGCTGGATTAAACCTCTTTTAATAGAAGGGTTGGGTGTCTGTACTTATTTTAAGACCTGGTTTTACTGCCTTGCCTCTGACCAGTGTTTCAAGAAACTCCATCAGGAAGGACGCTGTGTGCTGGGGAGGTGACAATAGCACAGAGCCAGCACTGGAGACCAGTCGCTCAGACAAATCACTCATGCTTACATGTCTTGCAAGGAGAAACTTCATCTTCAGCACACAAGCATGAAAGAATTTAACCAAGAATTAGTTTTAGCATATTTAGTAGACATCGGAGATACAGTGCTCTTACTTGGCAACTAGTAACAGTGTAAACAACAATCCCCTTTGGGTTTACCCTTCACAGACATGTTATAACCTGACATGTGCTAAGGTTTTCCAGTAATTATTTCATTTTGGAATACTCCTAAAATCAACAGAAGAGGCAAACAAAATTGCTCATTAGTTGCTTCAGGACTACTTTAGCAGGCATGCAATGAATTGCCCGTCCAGAGAATTTCATTATTAGCATTCAAGTATTTGATGATTTCATTTATTTCTAAGCAGTTTGCTGCCAGGGTCAAGCACTTGTGTAAGGTTCCAGCCTTTTATTTAAAAAGTTCTGTTCCCATGATGGAAATAAAATACAATTCTGTATTTTATGAATATCATTTAAAAAAAAAAGAATTCAATTAAAAATAATTACTTCAAGGTCAATTGGGGGGGGGGGCGCTCACTCAGTCTTTTGTTCATCTCCTGCCAGCAATATTGCACTAAGCTCAGTCTGGTGTAGGGCAGAGGAAAAGTCTGCTTGGGTTTTGGCTTTTTTATTTGTTTGCTTGCTTATTTTTCCTCAACTGACAAGATCAAAATAGTGGGAGCACTGGTTTCTCTGCAATTCAGGATTCGTGACACAAGCATGATGTTACACCTGCAGCATGGAGGCCTTATTGAAGTTCTTATTCCGGTGTACCAGCAGTGTCATAATCAAACATCTCTTTTCGATCACAAAACATTCTTGTTCCAAACAGAAGCCGTTTCCAAAACCTGCACAGGCTAATACATGCCTTCATTACAACTAGAGCACAACTATTTCCATTTTGGATTCCTGTGCTTGTTGAACAGCACTCAGCAGTAGACAAACCTAGGGAGCGATGAGCGTTTCCAATATGAAGTGTGGAACAAATCTATGTAGAAACAATGCAAGAAGTCTTAGAATATCAACACTGTGAATCAAAGCCACTAACAGGAAAGAAAAACAATCAGCTGGCATCACAGATGAATGACTTCATACAGTTCTCACACTGTTTGAAGGTCTCTCTCCCTCCTTCTGCTACCAAAAAGCTTTTATACTTAACTGTGGAAGATTTGTTCAGTCTTGCGTGGTGATTTTTGGACAGGTGATGTTAAGGAATGCAAAAGACCTTTCCAAGCAGCGTTTTTAGATTCTCTCTGAGATAAAAGGCTCAACTGTCCTTTTAACACTTTGTCCCCTACTCCACTTAATTTTGCTTTTCACCTGATACTGTTCAAAGTTCCATTAAGTCTCAAATTTCCAACTGACAAAGTAATTCCCAAGATACTAAGTGACAAGTGGTGTATCTCAGCCTATGTGGTATTTGAGAAGAATGCTTCCACCAGCCTAGCGTGTTGGAAAGCAGAAGACAATTTAATGCTCTGCATAGCAAGCAGATGTTTTTCATTCATTATGCTTCTTGTAAGTGTTCATTGTGCAAATTTCTAAGCCTGAATTTTATAGCTGCATCTTCCCCTGCTAAGAGACCAGCAGCCTGTATCATTAAGTGAGCATGTACTTTTAACCAAACACTAACAGTGCATGTTTCCGACACCTGTACTTCTAAAATGCATAAATGAAAAAACATACATACTGCTACTAGGCTGAGCTAAACCTCATAGCAGGCAGCTTGTAACCAACCTCGTGAGAGATTAAAAACAACAAAATGAAGTGGCTTCATTCCAAAGACCAGGATACAAACTGCCCCCGAAGAGCAAATGCAAGATACCTATCACCTTGTATTTTTACACATGCATGAAGAAGCTCCACCTAACCATCCTTTAATCCTTTTCTGAGCATGGAGAAAGAGAGAATACATCAAGGAAGCAGAATAAATTTAGATAAAGCACTGAGAATGTGAATCTTGTTACAGGATACTTGACACCTTTTTGCATGGAGTATTGGTTTAAAAGTCAGGATGGAGACACCATCTCTTGATTTTCTTCTAAGTAAACAGGACTGCATCAAGACAGCCTCACTGCAACACAGATTCCTCCTTTACTGGAAGGATTCACAGTACTCTGAATGTTTTGTAAAACTTCTAGGTCCGAAGGTAAAACAATGCTACCCAGAAAATGTAAGCGTATTTTTTAAATTTTTTTTTAAAAATCCATTTTTCAATCTATTTCCTTGAAAAAGAAAACAGTGATTCCAATGTTAATTTTGGCCAAGTAATACCTGTGCTTTTATTTTATATATTTGTGATGCTGTCCATCACATTTTGTTGCCTGATCTATTAAATAAGAAATCAATTATAGTCTTCCCAGGAGACTGAAGGATGATTCAGTATTTAAAAGTTAGACAGAATAATTTTTTTTTAATTCAACAGCTGACAAAGCTTCTCTGATCAAGGAACACCATGGAGAATGCCATATTGCTGCTGATGTTGTTAAGTCCAGCACTTTGCTTTCTTAAAGAGCATCAATTTCATTAAGGCCTGATCTCTAAGCAGGTCCAATGGATGCAACACCACAACAGACTGGAATTTACCACGGCTGACAACCCCACACGGGCAAAATGAACTGGCCCATCTTCTAGCGGAAGAGTTGTACAAGCATGACTCTCCTTAGTGAATCCTTCTGTAGAAGCTCAATCATACCACCACCTTTGTCCACCTCCCCACACGCACATTATCCCTAAGCAGTGTTTTAAAAGCATCATCGATATTCCCAAATCTTTCCACAATACTCATTCAACAATCCGTGCGTTTCCCCAGTTCTTACCCTGTTAACTCAGTGCTTTCACCTCGCACCTAAAGCGCCCGGATACCAAAAGTCCCGACTGCATCAAGGTAGGACTTGCAACCTACAGCCCATGAGGTGGC